GCAGAAGCTGCTGCTGCAGCAGCAACTCCTCCTGCTGCTGCTGCGCTGCATCCCGCCGATCGCATGCACCTTCAGATAGAAGACGAAGAACAGCAGCAGCAGGATCATTGTCAGCAGCAGCAGCAGCAGCAGCAGAAGCAGCAGCAGCAGCAGCAGCAGCTGAGAGTACACACGCAGCACTATGCCATTTCTGCTGTACCGCCTCAAGGTTATACACTTGCTGCTGCTGCTGCTGCTGCTGCTGCTGCTGCTGCAGTTGCTGCTGCTGTTGTTGCAAGGGAAATCCAAACGGAGCTGCAGCAGCAGCAGCAGCTGCTGCTGCTGCTGCTGCTGTTGGTATTGATGCAGCGCCGCTGAGCTGCTGCTGTCGTTCAGCTGCTGCTGCTGCAGCAAACCACCGAACAGCAGATGAAGGCTGCAGCAGGAGAGAGAACAGCAGCAGATACACACAAATATAAACCCTAAACCCCAAACCCTAAACCCTAAACCCTAAACCCTAGAGCCAGACAGGGTGAGTAAAACGACTTACTCTAAGGAAGACAGCGTCGTTGTCTGTCGCCATTTCGAGGGTTTAGGGTTTAGGGTTTAGGGTTTAGGGTTTAGGGTTTAGGGTTTAGAGTGTAACACTCAACTGTCTGTACACCCGGGGCCAAACCCCCACTACTGATGTGTATATGCAGCTGGGTTCTATCATTCGTTACTATAGAAGACCCTAAACCCTAAACCCTAAACCCTAAACCCTAAACCCTAAACCCTGGAGCTCCCATGGTGTTGCTTATATTCTAAAGCCTTTATTCTTTTGCTTATCTTAAGAAATGTTTTGATAGAAATATATTTAATCTTTACTTTTGGGTAGATACTTAGAACGTAAACCCTAAACCCTAAACCCTAAACCCTAAACCCTAAACCCTCGGGGGGTGTTGATGGGGCTGTTGGTGGGGCCCCTCCGTCGCTGCAGCTGAGGCAGCGAGATGAGCAGAAGAATTATTTTAAAGAATAAATTATTTATAAATAAAAAATAAATATCCATAGA